CCAGGGGCCACCAAGACGTCCCAAGATGACACCAAAAGGTGCCCATGGAGCCAAAGGGCCACCCCGAGGTGCCCATGGCCCCAAGGTGCCAGGAGACACCAAGAGGTGCCAAGGGCCACCAAGATGTCCCAAGATGACACCAAGAGGTGCCCATGGCCCCAAGGTGCCAGGGGCCACCAAGAGGTGTCAAGGGGCCACCAAGAGGTGCCCATGGAGCCAAAGGGCCAACCCGAGGTGCCCATGGCCCCAAGGTGCCGGGGGCCACCAAGAGGTCCCAAGAGGACACCAAGAGGTGCCCATGGACCCAAAGGGCCACCAAGAGGTGCCCATGGCCCTGAGGTGCCAGGGGCCACCAAGATGTCCCAAGAGGACACCAAGAGGTGCCCATGGAGCCAAAGGGCCACCCCGAGGTGCCCACAGCCCCGAGGTGCCAGGAGACACCAAGAGGTGCCAAAGGGCCACCAAGAGGTGCCCATGGCCCTGAGGTGCCAGGACACACCAAGATGTCCCAAGATGACACCAAGAGGTGCCCATGGACCCCGAGGTGCCAGGGGCCACCAAGAGGTGCCAAGGGGCCACCAAGAGGTGCCCATGGACCCAAAGGGCCACCAAGAGGTGCCCACGGCCCCAAGGTGCCAGGGGCCACCAAGAGGTGCCAAGGGGCCACCAAGAGGTGCCTATGGACCAAAAGGACCACCCCGAGGTGCCCATGGAGCCAAGGGGCCACCCCGAGGTGCCCATGGCCCCAAGGTGCCAGGGGCCACCAAGAGGTGTCAAGGGGCCACCAAGAGGTGCCCATGGACCCAAATGGCCACCCTGAGGTGCCCATGGAGCCAAAGGGCCACCCCGAGGTGCCGGGGGCCACCCCGAGGTGGCGGGCCCACCCCGCGGGCGCGCCGCACTCACCGGTCTCCAGGTACCAGAGGTCCTTGCAGCACACCTGGTTGTTCCAGGCCTTGCGGTAGCCGTCGCGGCCGCTCCAGATGTAGAGGCGCGTGGCGATGGCCACGGCGCAGTGGCCGGCGCGCGCCCGCGGCACGTTGTCCTCCAGCGGGTCCGTCACGAGCGGCTCCCACGCCATGGAGTCTGCGGGGGGCACCCATGGGTGACGGGGCCGCCGGGGGGATGTGGGGGACGTGGGGGGCCGCGCGGGCGCCCTACCCAGGTTGAGGCACGCCAGGGTGTTGGTGCACTTCCACTCCTTCTCGTGCGTGGCCACCTTGACGTCGTCCATGACGAGGGGCACCCAGCCGCCGAAGACGTACATCCTGCGGGGGGGACCCCAAAATCCCCCCAAATCACCGCGGGGGACCCCAAAAAGGGGGGGTGGGAGGGGTCAAGGGGGGAGAGAAGCCTTGGGAGAAGGTTGGGATGGGCGGAGATGGCCTCAAACATGGACATGCCCCCCACTTTTGGGGTCCCCAAAGTCACCTCAGGGGACAAAGGGACCCCAAAAACGACGTTTTGGGGCACACAAAGTCATGGAGAGTGGGAAATGTTGGAAGACGTTTGGGATGGGCGGAAATTGGGGGGCTGAGATGGCCCCAAACTGGCCCCAAACACGGGGGTCCCCAAAGTCACCTCAGGGGGCAGAGGAACCCCAAAAATGACGTTTTGGGGCACAGAAACTCATGGAGAGCGAGGAATGTTGGAAGACGTTCGGGATGGGTGGAAATTGGGGGGCTGAGATGGCCCCAAACTGGCTGGGGGGGGACGTGGGGGTCCCCCAAAGTCACCTCAGGGGGCAGAGGAACCCCAAAAATGACGTTTTGGGGCACAGAAACTCATGGAGAGCGGGAAATGTTGGAAGACGTTTGGGATGGGCGGAAAACGG